GGACCGTGTTTGAACCTGCCACCCTCAGTATATGGGGCCGGTGCCCTACCCACTGAACCACAGGCACCACTCTTGAACTGATTTTTCATTAGTTAATGATTTAAATAACCCTTTGACATGCTGTCCTAGCTGTTAAAGTGCTGCCACAACAAATTACTACAAATTTGGTGGCTTTATCATCAGAAATTTATTCTCTCACAGTTTTGGAAACCATAAGGCTGAAATCAGGGTGTCAACAGGGCTGGTTCTGCCTATAGCTCTGGTGCCCCCCAGGTTCCTTGGGTGGGTGCTCCAGGGCCACCCGACCTTGCTTTCCACACACGCCCTCCTGTCTTTCCTCTGCAGGGACTCTAGGGCCCACTTCACATACTGAGACTTCTCACTTGATCACATCTGTGAAGGTACTATTTCCAAATAACGTCTTAATGCCCACTCTGGGGCTAGGACTTGGATGGTGTCCTGGGAGGGGCACTGTTCAATGCATTACACACACACTCCTTTTACATCTGTGTGAAAGTTGCACTTCTTCATACCTGTTTAAACTCTTTCTTCTCTCAGTAGTTTTGCAGCCCCAAGGTACTGGGAATGTGGGGTTTGGGGAACATGGGGGCTGCTGGGAGATGGGGGAAATGAGCTAGGAGTGGGGCCTGGGGCCTGGAATGGGATGTCTTTCTGAGGCAAGCTCACTTGGGCCAGGGAAGGTTTTTCTAGGTGCCCCCTGGGCCCGGCAGCCCCAGTTTTTTGTTTTTTTGAGACAGAGCCTCAAGCTGTCCCCCTGGGTAAAGTGCTATGGCATCACAGCTCACAGCAACTTCCAACTCCTGGGCTCAAGCGAGTCTCTTGCCTCAGCCTCCCAAGTAGCAGGGACCACAGGTGCCCGCCACAACGCCCAACTATTTTCTGGTTGCAGCCATCATTGTTGTTTGGTGGGCCCAGGCTGGATTCGAACCTGCCACCTTAAGCCCCAGTTTTGAAATGCTTTCTCCCCACAGCAGCATGGGGCACAGTCCTCATACTTAGCCCATCCAGAACAAAGCCTGCAGCCCAGGACAGGAGCCCAGCCAGGATTGGGGTCCTTTGAATTCGAAGTTTCCCCCAGGGTGAGGCATGCCCTGCCTTGTTCCCAAGAGGCCACATCCTGCCCTCCCTGCCTGCTGGCTCCCAGAGAGTCTGAATCTGAGTGGCAGGTCTCCCTGGCTGGTCCAGGGAATCCTACTGCACAGCTCACTTCTTTCTTACATTATCACAGCATAGATGTTTCAATCTGGCTCGGGCTGGTCTGGAACCTGTTGAGTCCCTGCGCCAGCCCACATAAACGTGCTGGAACTGTCCTATTAATCAGTGTAGGGTGCTGTGAGAGATCAACCCTGTGCAGCTGAGAACACTCCAGAAAGCCTGGTCTTTTTTTTTTTTTTTAGACTGAGCCTCAAGCTATCCCCCTGGGTGGAGTGCCATGGCATCACAGCTCACAGCAACCTCCAACTCCTGGGCTCAAGTGAGTCTCCTGCCTCAGCCTCCCAAGTAGCTGGGACTACAGGCACCCACCACAATACCCAGCCATTTTTTGGTTGCAGCCATCATTGTTGTTTGGCAGGCCCGGGCTGGGGATTCGAACCCGCCACCTTAGGTGTATGTGGCTGGCGCCTTAGCTGCTTGAGCCACAGGCGCCGAGCCAGAAAGCCTGGTCTTGAGCAGGGCTTCAGGTCCACTTGGCCAAGCCCAGTCTGGACTTTAGTGATGAGGCAGCAAGGGCTGGACCAAGATGGACAAAGTACTCCTGAAGACAACTGCCTGTGTTCGCCTAGCATGGGGCGTCCAGAGTGCATTAGCTTGGGGATGATAGGTACTTCACATAAGAGGCAAAACAGTAGGGGTGGCTCCTGTGGCTTAAAGGAGTAGGGTGCCAGCTCCATATGCCAGAGGTGGTGGGTTCAAATCCAGCCCTGGCAAAAAAAAAAAAAAGAGGCAAAACAGTGCAGCCAGTGGTGTGAGAGAGGGGCTGAAGTGTGGGCTTAGCCAGGGCAGGGACCACCCAATGGAAGAGATGCCCGCTGAGTTGAGTTAATAAGAGGTATAGGAGGGAGGGGAGGGGAGAGGGAGGATGGGTGAAGAGAACGATATTGTGGGGATCATGCCTATAGTTTATCCTATTTGGGTACAGGTGAATTTGTCTAAAGGTTGAATATAAATGTCTTAACATAAGAATTATGAGAAAGACATGATGGCTATGTAAGCCACTTGGATGAGAGTTTTCCAAACTGCATAAAGAAGTAACACACTGTATCCTATGAGAGAATTAATGTACGCAATTATGATCTAATAAAAAACAAATTATAAAAAATAAGAGGTATAGGAGAGGCACGGGAGGGGGAGGAGGTGTGGGGAGTAGGAGGGGAGAACTAGGGTGGCCTCCCCCAGGTTGTGGGCCCGGGAACTAGGACACCGTGTTGCAGGAGGTGGGTTTTGTGTTTTAAATGGTAGCTACAAGTGCATGTTTAGCTCTTTTGGGTGACTCAGTGGAGCAAGATGACGGTGGAGACAGGAGAAAGAGGGCATGATCCCACAATGGGGACATGGTCCTGGAGACAGAGGAGGGGCTCCAGACACAGGGACTAGCAGCAGTGAGAGTGCCGCTGAGAGTGACCAAGAGGGAGGCAGGTGGGAGGAGCTGAGGAGAAAGCAGAGCACCCTGAGGGCCTGGTTGGGGGGCGGGGTAGGGAGGGCAGGGAAATTACAGGTCTGGAATTGAACTGTAGTGGCAATGTTCCCCTTCGGCCCCCTACCCTTCCTCAGCCTGGTGTGGACATGCAGACATAGCAGTGGGGTGCTGTTGCAAGGGAGTAGCCCTGGATTAGCAGGTCAGCAGTGGTGAGCAATGGGGTGTGGTGGGAGTAGGGGACAGCTGGGACCCACGGCAGAAGCTCTGCTGAGGCCCCCTCAGTCTCTGCCTGTCCAGGAGGCTGCCCTTACTGAGAAGTGGCTGAGTCTTCCCTGAGAGAGCTCCTGACAAGCACTGGGGGTGCCTTGGTGGTTTTCTGACCCCTCCCCAGGGCTGTCGTGTCCTTGCCCTCACTGCCTGGGGCATGCCACCCCTTTGTACTCTGTCACTCCAGCCAGGGCCTGGTCTCTCTGAACCAGCCCTCTCTTCTCTCTCCACATTGTGTCTCCCATCTCCCAATCCTATCCATCCACTTCTTGATGTCTTTCATGTGTGGTCACTTCTGTGTCCCCAAGCCTGGCTCTTGATGCTCTGTGTAGCCCATGTCACTTGCTTTGTGAAGCTGATCCTTGCTTCTTTTTTTTTTGAGACGGACCCTCAAGCTATCCCCCTGGGTAGAGTGCTGTGCCATCACAGCTCACAGCAACCTCCAACTCCTGGGCTCAAGCAATTCTCCTGCCTCAGCCTCCCAAGTAGCTGGGACTACATGCGCCCACCACAACGCCTGGCCATTTTTTGGTTGCAGCCATCATTGTTGTTTGGCGGGCCCGGGCAGGGGATTCAAACCTGCCACCTTAGGTGTATGTGGCTGGCGCCTAAGCCGCTTGAGCCACAGGCGCTGAGCTGATACTTGCTTCAAATCCCTCTCTTTCCCCACCCCTAATTTCTGCTCTGTCTGAGCTCCTGGATGGCCTCATGTACAGACACTGATGTCTGGTACGAAACATGCTACATGACAGTAACTTTTTGAGTCAGCCATGCCTGGCAGAGCCACACTGCCTACTGGGAGACTCCTCCTTGCCATTTTCCCAGTGGCACCTCCACTGCAGGTGTCCTGGCACCTCCAGGGGCTTCCAAGGCCCTAGATGGTCAGACAGGCCCCTAGTGCCATCCACAGGTGAACTTCTGCCAGATCACCTGAGGCCTCTTGCTGCCCTGTACCCCAGTGTAGGCTGGGCCTCACAAGGATCCAGTCAGTCGTCATCTTCCCCATGGGCTGTCTCTCTGGAGTCCACCCTCCAATTGCCACAAAACCTCCCCCTTCCCATATCAAGGTGAATCCTCTGCATGGCCCACCACACACCCACTGCTCCCACCTGCCATCTCAGGGCCTGACAAGGTGCAGGGCCTCAAGGGGCAGTCCTCTCAGGCTGCAAGGACCCTGAGGCTTCTGGCTCCCTGGCCCAAGGGACTCAGCTGCCCTCTTCTGCATGGCCCCCTTTTGTGAGAGCTGCCAGGCAGAGGATCTAGGGCATCTCTAGCACTCAGTATGAAGATGGCCCTAATAAGTGAGAACCCAGGAACCCAAACCACAGGATGATCTCGGCTGCAGGGAGCAGAGGCACAGCTCTCATCAGGGGCCTAAGTGGTACCAGAGTCGATCCAGGCTGCACCAGACCTCAAGTACATCTAAGCTTCTGAGTGACGAGGAAGTTTTTGGTGTTTTTTTGAGACAGAGGCTCACTCTGCCGCCCTAGGTAGAGCGCTGTAGAGTCACAGCTCACAGCAACCTCAAACTCCTGGGCTCAAGTGATATTCCTACCTCAGCCTGCTGAGTAGCTGGGACTACAGGCGCCTGCCACAACGCCTGGCTATTTTTAGAGACGGGGGTTTAGCTCTTGCTCAGGTTGGTCTCGAACCTGTGAACTCCGACAATCCACTGGCTTCGGCCTCTCAGAGTGCAGGGATGTGAGCCACCATGCCAGGTCTGAGCCAGGAGGAAGTTAAAGGGATCCTCCCCAGTCACACAGCACAAGCCCCACCCCACGCCACACCTGCTTCTTACTGCAGCTCGTGCTGCAGTGACTGGTTCGCGAAGGGCACGGCGCCCGTGGCGAGTGTGGGATTTGAACCCGTGTCTCGTCGGGCACGGGCCCGGCGCCGGACGCTAGGCCACCGGTGGCCGCCAGGGGCCACTACTCAGCTGCGCAGGCGGAGAGAGTGGGGTGGGCGGGGTGGGAGGGCTCCAGTCCCCGCCCACCGCCTCCAGGGCGGGGCTCGTGGGCGGTGACACGCGTGCGCACTGCGCGCCCTCCCACCCGCAGGGACTGCTGGGCTGAGATGTACGGCGGCGCGGGGCGAGAGCCGAGCAGCGAGGCCCCCGGGAGATGTGGCGACCGGTGAGCACTTGCTGGGCCGGAGAGCCCCGAGACCTATTCCCTGGCCCACAGGGATCCTGAGGATCCCGAGTCGCAGGACCCCCAGACCCGGCCCCCAACGACTCCCAGACCGCGGGTCCTAGAGACCAGAGTCCCTGCAGGTCCCCCCAAAGACCAGAGTTCCTGCAGGCCTCCCATAGCCGGCCCCCAGCGACGCCCAGACCCCAGGTCCTAGAGACCAGAGTCCCTGCAGGCCCCCCAGGCCCCGACCCTAGAGACCAGAGTCCCTGCAGGCCCCCAGACCCCGCCCACAGGGACGCCCAGACCGCCGTCCTAGAAACCAGAGTCCCTGCAGGCCCCCCAGACCCCTCCAACAGTGATGCCCAGACCCCCATTCCTAGAGACCAGAATCCCTGCAGGCCCCCCGGACCTCGACCTCAGAGACCCCCAAATCCCCAGCAGCAGAGACCCAAAGTTACTTCTTCCAGTGGGAGGCGAGAGCCCTTGATCCCCAGGAATGAGGCCCTTTCCTGCAGTCGTTTAGAGCTTTGAGGCAGGGGGTCCTCAGCATTGTTCCTTTTAAACTTGGGATTTTTTTTTTTTTTTTGAGACAGCGTCTCACTTTGTTGCCTTGGGTAGAGTGCCAGGGGGTCATAGCTCACAGCATCCCCAAACTCTTGGACTCAAGCAATCCTCTTGCTTCAGCCTCCCCAGTAGCTGGGACTACAGGCACAGGCCATAACACCTGGCTATTTTTAAAGATGAGGTGGTGGCACAGCACCCCTGTGTGTGTTCCTTCATCTTCTAGACAGCCCTTAGGGGAGAATGGGGTAGGTCTTGGCCCTGTAAGTGACCTGTAAGTGCTGCTGGATCCAGCAGGCTTCTGGATGAGAGGGGTGCACAGCCTTGGAGGAGCACCAGGCCCACCTCCCCTTGCCCATGCTCCCAGCTATAACCTTCAGATACCACCTGGAGACTCAGCAGTTATCTCTTACTGCCACAGTGGGCTTGTCTATGGCAACCATCCTGCCTCCATCTCATCTGCAGGAGGCAGGGGGTCATAGCTCACAGCATCCCCAAGTCCCAGCTACTGGGGAGGCTGAGCTATGACCCCCTGGCACCCCCTTGGGAACCCAGGCTGTGCCTGTAGCTTGGGCACACATGCCTTGGTCTGTGAACTGTAGAGTAGCCATTTGAGTCTCACCACTCAGGACTCAGGACTTTTGGCTATCCTATAGGCGGTCGAGTGTGTTCCAGATGAGCCCTGGAAAAGTGAGGTGTTTCTGTATCTGCAGCCAAACCATGCACACACTTCCTGTAAGGAAGCGTGTATGGCCAAGTAGAGAGGCTCGGCTCATCTTCTGCAGCCCTGAGGCTCTGGGACCAGGGGAGCTGCTGGACCAAGTGTCAGCCTGAGTGTGTGATCGTCACAGTCTGGAAGGGTTTGGTGGTCATGCCCTGGGTGCAGTTTGGGTTATGTGTAGTGTAGTGGGAATTGCCCTAGTTGGATTCTGGGAGGTCTCTCTGGAAGGCCTGTCTGCTGGCTGTCCCCACAGGACCCCTCCTATGTGCTGGGGAATTTCAGAAAGGATAGCGGGGGAGCTCTGGGCACTCCACAACGGGAGGAACCAGGCACTTACACGGCCCATGGGTCCTGGAGGGGCCAAGCTCTGGAGTCAGCTCAAGGCCTTGTTTATGTGGAGTCCTGTCCAGGGCCAGATCACCACAGAGCCACTGCCATCTCCTGCCTGTGACCTTCCTGTCGCCTGGAGAGAGTCCTGGCCAGGCCTTGGGTTCTGTCTGTCTTGTGTTTGGCCACCATGGATCTCATGCAGCAAGGTCTTGATGGGTGCCTGCTGGCACAGAGACGCTTAAAAAATGGGTCTGCTCCGTCTAGGGGGCAGACACTGTAAGGTAGCAGTTGCAGGAGCCTCTGAGGACAGCTAGGGGGGATGTAAGAGGCACAAGGCACCCAGGGGTATGGCCAGTGCTTCAGTCTTTTAAAAAATAATGCAAATTTAGCATTTTCCTCTGTAAAAGAACTGTCTTTATATGAAGACAGTGTTCAAGGGTGGCACCTATGACTCAAAGGAGTAGGGCACCAGCTCCATATACTGGAGATGGCGGGTTCAAACCCAGCCCTGGCCAAAAAAAAAAGACAGTATTCAAGTTATTTGTCAGTAAGGGGAATTGGCTTTTTCTCCCAAACCTTTGGGGCAACATTCTCTGCTGGTGGCTGTCAGGGCCTCTCCACAGGATGAGATTTCACTGTGGACATCAAGGCTAGTCTTCCAATGGAAGAGGTAGGGGTAGGTAAGCAGGTGGACTCGTTCCCATTTCACTGTAGACTGCCATTTCACTGAAACTTTGCAGCAAACCTCTAAAGAGTAAAATGGCAGAAAAAGGAGTAAAATGCCTTTGCCTCCGGTTGACTAAAGCCTCCTTTGTTCTCTGTAAACCCTTCTCCAAACTTTTTTTTGAGATAGAGTCTCACTTAGTCTTCCTGGATAGAGTGCAGTATAGGCTCAAGTGATCCTCTTGCCTCAGTCTCCCAAGTAGCTGGGACTATGGGTGCCTGCCACAATGCCCAACTAGTTTTTCTCTTTTCTTTTTACTTTTTTTTTTTGAGACATAGCCTCAAGCTGTCCCCCTGCGTAGAGTGCCCTGGCATCACAGCTCACAGCAACCTCCAACTCCTGGGCTCAAGCGAGTCTCCTGCCTCCACCTCCCAAGTAGTTGGGACCACAGGCGCCCGCCACAATGCCTGGCTATTTTTGTTGTTGTAGTTGTTGCAGACATCATTGTTGTTTTGGCAGGCCTGGGCTGAATTCAAACCCACCCCCTTAGGTGTATGTGGCTGGTGCCTCAGCCATCTGTGCCACAGGCGCCAAGCCACTCTTCTTTTCTTGACAGAGTCTCACTTTGTCACCCTCAGTAGAGTGCTATGGCTTCACAGCTTACAGCAACCTCTAGCTCTTGGGTGATCTTTTTTAGTAGAGATGGGGTTTGGCTTTGCTCAGGCTGGTCTTGAATTTGTGAGCTCAAGCTATCCACCCATTTCAGCCTCCCAGAGTGCTAGGATTACAGTGTGAGCCACCTTGCCTCTCCACACTTTTGAAAAGCTGTGGAAGCTGATATTCTTATTATTATTTTTTTTTTTTGGCCGGGGCTGGGTTTGAACCCATCACCTCCAGTATATGGGCCGGTGCCCTACTCCTTGGAGCCACTGGTGCCCAGAAGCTGATACTCTTTTAACACAAGTAATTCAGTTTGGCCTAGGGAATCTCCTTTACATCAGATTGACTGGGCCACGGCGGGACTGGTGAGAGAAGGGTGAGGCTGTTGGGGCCAGTGGCAGCTTGGCACAGAAAGGCCTGGAGAGAACAGTGGCTCCAGCCTGTTAGGGTTGTGACCCCAGCATGACTTCATTGCTCCTGTGCTTACTGAGCTCACATTGGGGCAACTAACTTGGTGCGTCAGGCACTGCCCAAGGGCTTTGCAATTGTCAGTTTTCCCTTGATCCAGCTTTATTGATGTAGTTATCCCTCCTTTATGGGTAAGGAAACTGAGGCACAGAGCTAGTGAATGCTGGAGCCAGGCTTCCCACCCCCAAGGCTGGTCCAGAGTGTACCCTAGCATTCTTTGCCCAGCTCGACCTGCATTTCCCTTGGCAGGATGTCTTATGCACTGTGGGGTGTTGGGCAGCACCCTAAGCTTCCAACCCCTCTGTGCAGAAGCACCCGTTCACCATGGTGGGACAACTAAAAGCACCACCATTTGGTGCCAGATGTCCCAGGCACAAACTCACCCAGCTGAGGACTCCTGCCCTACACCAGCCACCTCATCTCTGAAATGCACCTCTTGGCTGGGACTTTCAGTGTTACAGCAGATGTTTTACAACTTTTAGTCATGAAAATGTTTATCTTAAGGGCTAGGCTAGGTGGTTCACACTTGTAGTCCTAGTATTCTGGGAGGCCAAGGTGGGCGGATCGCCTGAGCCAGAGTGAGACTTCATCTCTAAAAATAGCTGGGTGTTGTGGCAGGTGCCCGGAGTCCTAGCTACTCAGGAGACTGAGGGAAGAGAATCACTTGAGCCCAACAGTTAGAGGTTGCTGTGGGCTATAATGCCACAGCACTTTACCAGGGACGATCAAGTAAGACTCTGTCTTAAAAAAAAGAAAAAAAAAAAAAAGAAAATGTTTGTCTTGATTGGTAGAGTGGTGCATGTAGCCACAGTGCCCAGTCTACATCCTCCACCTTTCTGAGGAATAGAAGACAGGCCCATGTGGCTGGAAACAGAACATATGCTCAGAGATGGGGGCTGCCCCCAAAAGAGAAGGTACAGTGCTGTGAGCAGGAGCCAGCCAGCATCTGGGCCAGGCCTCCTGCAGAGAGGAAGTGAGGCGTCCAGTCAGAGGTGCAGCCTGGGTAAGGATACCTGTTGCTCATCTATGCCTGTCTCAGTCTTCCACCCTAGCTGTTTTCTATTCCTATTGGAAAACATACATTTCTGTTGTCATTAGACCATTTGAAAGTAAGTCACAGACATTTCAATACAGAATCTCTAAACATGTCAGTACACACTCCTAAACCATGACACTCTATAGTGTAACGGTAACTTTTCATGCCTAAAATACTGATAATTCCTAATGTCTGTTTCCTACTCAATTTGCCTATTGTCCTAGAAACATCTTTTTGAGTATTTTTTCTGAGTTGGGACATGGTGAAGGTTCATGCTCTGAGTTTGTTGTTGTGTCTGTTTGGACGCCTAATCTACAAATTCTTCTACTTTTTTCCTGTAACTTTTTTCTTTTTTACTTCTCATTATGAGAAAATGCAAATATTTAAAGAAGTAGAAGGAATTAACAAATGTTTGTGCCAGCATTGGTGCTCTCCCCGTGAATCATGGTGTTCTGAGAAACCCCATATGTTGATCTGCTTGGGCTGTCTTCAGAGTCACTGGTGATGTGTGCTGAGTCCTAGGCCCCCCTGGTGCCAACTCCTCTGTGAGCTTATGGTTTTATGCAGTAGATCAGAACCTCCGTGACCTCGAGCCAGAGGGCCAGGTAGCTGTGGGTGGCATGTAGCACACACTGGCTCCAGCTGCGGTTGGACCTCTTGTCCTGGCTCCAGCTGCGGTTGGACCTCTTGTCCTGGCTCCAAATGGCTTCCTTACCTAGGTTTTCCTTTTTTTTTTTTTTTTTTGAGACAGAGCCTCAAGCTGTCCCCCTGGGTAGAGTGCCATGGCTTCACTGCTCACAGCAATCTCCAACTCCTGGGCTCAAGCGAGTCTCCTGCCTCAGCCTCCCAAGTAGCTGGGACCACAGGCGCCTGCCACAGCGCCCGGCCATTTTTTGGTTGCAGCCATTATTGTTGTTTGGTGGGCCCGGGCTGGATTCGAACCCGCCACCTTAGGTGTATGTGGCTGGCGCCTTAGCCGCTTGAACCACAGGCGCCGAGCCACCCAGGCTGTACTTCTGACTGGACACCTCACTTCCTCTCTGCAGGAGGCCTGGCCCAGATGCTGGCTGGCTCTGCTCACAGCACTGTACCTTCTCTTTTGGGGGCAGCCCCCAATCTCTGAGCATATGTTCTGTTTCCAGCCACATGGGCCTATCTTCTGTTCCTCAGAAAGGTGGAGGATGTAGACTGGGCCCTGTGGCTCATGCCTAAAATCCTAGCACTCTGGGAGGCTGAGGCAGGTGGATTACATGAGCTCACAGGTTAGAGACCAGCCTGAGCAAGAGCAAGACTCCACCTCTAAAAATAGCCGGGCATTGTGGCGGGTGCTTGTAGTCCCAGCTATTCAGGAGGCCAAGAGTTTGAGGTTGCTGTGAGCTATGCCACCACAGTACTCTACCGATGGTGACAAAGTAAAACTGTGTCTCAAAAAAAAAAAAGGGTGAGGGTGCCGTGTCCTTTGCCTAGGAGGCCTCACCCATGTCCACGTGGGTTCTTCACTGCCCCAGGTTGTAGAACCCTGTACTGGTGCTATCTGTGCTACTGTCTGTGGCCTCTTATAAGGCGAGGCCTGTTGTAGTCTACTCCTCCCCCACACGATTGTTTGGTGGGGCAGGTGAACAGGCAGGGCTGATGGGAATGGCTGGGGCCAGAGAACAGGCAGGGCCCATGACAACAGGCACAGTTGCGTGGTGAGTGTGTGGGGAGGAGCTTTCCTGGCAGACCCATGAAGCCTATATCTCTGGGAGAGGGGCAGTGGCTGGGACCTTGCCAGCTGGTGGGTCTCTCCACTGCTCATGTGATGCTGCTCATGCAGCTGCTGCCCATTACTGGGCCTCGTGCATGCCCCAGTACCAGAAGTGGCTGAGCCAGGGGCTGAAGGTAGGTGGACTGCAGGGTGGATGGTGTTCCCAACAGTCTCTGCCTTCGCTTGTCCTTGGGAATTAGCTCTTGCTGTGTGTGGTCTTCTGAGAGGAGGATTCTGTCAGTCCTTGCTCTTCTCTTGGGACAATAGGTCATGGGCGTTCTCCTTTGACTTCTGTGTTGTTTTGTTGCCCTTGAAATTGTCTGCAGGGCTCTGTGCTTTGGCCAGAAAGTGACTGGGAAGTCAGGTCCTGTTCTGGCCCAGGGCTCATGACGATAACTAACATCTGTGTTAGCTGTGGGTTGTGACTTGCTGTGCACAGCCTTTCTCTCCCTAAACTGGTTTGTTAGAGGAATTTGCAGGTGGGGAATTTGTCGATAAGCAGGTTTTAAGATCTCCTAGTTCAAGTACAGTTGGGAGCCCAAAGCTGCCAAAGAGTGTTTGAGAGCTGCAGAATCTCCATGTCACAACATGAGGCTGAGTATCCTACAGTGATTGTGGTGCCCAGTGCCTTTATGTGTGTCCTGGTGGCTGCACCACATCTGCCGCCCTGGCCGCCCTGCCCTCTGCACAGAAGCTATCCAGCCTGCCACTGGGGCCTGGGCCTGCATGACCCTGTACCTTTGCTTTTGGACAGAGACCTCTCTCCTGTCCTGGCTGCTTCTTTCTGACTATGTGGTTGAGCATTGTGGATGTTCTTCCTAAGATGTGGACTGCTGTCCTGTGGCTACTGGTCAGTAGTCCCAGTGGCAGGAGGTAGCATGTGGTGGTCAGGGTGCCACCAAGAGAGTGTTGCAGGGGTGTGGGGCCCATCACACAGGAGCCAGGCTACGGTGCTGTCTCTTTCTGCAGAAACTGAGGGACAATCACAGACAGGCATTTTCAGTGACCTGTTCCCATCCGAGGCAGCAGCCCCTGGGTTTAGCCTTCCCTGCCATCCTGTGACACCCTGACTGTCCCAAGAGGTAGGGCCATCTTTTCACTCGAGTCAGGTGTGGAGCCCAGGAGGCGTGGTGGAGGCCATGTCTGTTTGGGCCTTTATACCAACTATGTTGTGTCCTCTCCACAGATACAGCTTTGCCATGTCCACTCTGTTTTGCTGCAGAAGCCCTGGCCGCCTCCTGCTGCGCTCTTCAGGAGAGACTTCAGGGTCCTGCCTGCAAGGTAACATGTCTCCCACAGCAGGGCTGTGTCAGGCACATACTAGAGGTGGGGCCCAGGCTAGATGACTTCCGTGTCCCAACCAAGGCAGGCTCCGAGTGCCAGGGCTCCAGGCCCCAATTCATGATGGGGCACAGGCAGGAGTTGGCGCTCCTGGAAAAAGCGGTTTTAGGTGGATGACTAGTAAATCAGCAAGAGTGCTCATAGAGCTACCTGCTCTGTGGAAAATAGAAGTGATGGAGACTGTGGAAGGGGGGGTCATGGGGGGCCAGATGAGGAGGACACAGCAAGAAGAGAGGCTGCGAGCAGGGCCAGGCCCCCTGCCTTAGTACTCATGGCTCCCTGAACATGGCGGGGGTGACTTGCTTCCAGCACTCTGCACACAAAAGACCCTGGGACAGACCAGTGGCTTGGTGCAGAACCAAATGGGTGCCCAAGCTCCTCTGTCCTTTGGTCCCTGCTGGGGACTCTGGAAGAGCTCATTGTGTACCAGCATGTGTGGCTGAGCATTGTGGAAGGCCCTCCTGAGATGCTGTGTGTGGCCACTGGTCAGCGGTCCCAGCAGCAGGAGGCAGCATGACCTAAAATGTCCCGGGGGATGGTGGCTGAGGTTCTATGCAGTGTGGGTGGCCCTAGCCCCGCATGGAGCACAGACCTGTCACTGGCTGCATCATGGCTGGCCGAGGGGCCATCTCTGCCTCCACTAGCCCCTAGCTGGGCCTCCAGACACACCCATAGGAGATCTGCCCAGGGCCACATGGCATGGTCTGCTGGGGGTGTTCTTGGTGGCTGCACTGGGAGTGGCTGTCATGGGCACCAAGAACAGCGGGGGGGGGGCAGGGTCTGTGCACCAGTGGTAGGGAGGGTGTCCCCCCCACATGCCTGTGTCCCTCAGGTCCTCAAGGCCCTCGCCCCTGTGGAGGAAGGCGCTCTCTGCCACGATGCTGGGGCTGCCCCTGTTCCTGGGCATCCGATACTTCTCAGCAGAGGCGAGAGAGAAGCGGAGGATGCGGCTGGTAGTGGATGGCATTGGGCGCTTTTCCAGGTAGGAGAGTGAGTGGGGTTGGGAGGAGCTGTGGGGCTTTGCTGGGAGTTGCTTCCCAGTTGTCCTTTGCTGTGTAGGCAGGTGCTGACTGGTGGGGTCATCAGATAAGGGTCTCTGACATTGGATGTGCCCTCTACAGACCCATCCCCAATCAGCCATGGCCCAAGGGTGGCCTTGGCTGGTGCTTCCTCTCCCCGGCTTCCCGGCTTCCATGTGACAGCTTCCCCACCACCCAAGGAGAGTCAGCATCTGGACAGAGAGGCTTGAGGGCAAGGTCACCCATTTGTTCGTAATGGCTATGGCACTAGGATGCCACTGTCAGGGCCTTCTCAGGAGCCTTCATCTCCTGGTGCAGAACTGGGGGGAGGGAAGGGGTGTTTCCTGCTGAGTCCACAGGCAAGCCAGGCCCAGGAGTCCTGCAGCCCTGGAGCCTGCCCATCTCTCCGCTGCTTCCAGGAAGCAGGGGAGTCCTGGGGTCTTCAAGGGCTTTATTAAAACTTCACCAAGATCCATTCCAGCAGTGGGGGCAGGCCAAAGGGCATTGGGTGCCTAATGGGCTTCTGTCTCTGAGTAAGGCAGTCGTCCTCATGCCTATCTCCCTGGCATTTGTTTTAGCTGGGAGCTCCCGGTGGTCCCTGCTGGCAGGTTCTGGGTGGTATCCTCTGTGTCCTGTGGGCTGTCCAGTCTCCACCTCTGTGACCCTCCACTGTGTGTGCAGGATCCTTGCAGGGCTGCTGGAGACTGTCCACACACAGCTTGGCCTGAAGTGTAGACTGGGCAGCTGCTGCTTCCCAGCATCCAGACCCCAGTGATGGGTGCTCTGCATGCCTGCCTTCTGTGCTCATTTAGTGAAATGTATTTGTGTAGTTGCTTGTAGGGGGCAAGCTGAGCTTGCAGAGAGAGGCTAGGACTGTTCATGTTCCCAACAGTTTGCACATTCTTCCCTGCTCTAAGCCCTGAGATCATTCATTGCTAGGACAGCATTGCATTCCTGGTGGGGCACAGGGGGACCAGCAGAGGCATGTCCCTAGCAACAGCACAGCATCACCAGAAAGAGTGAGGGTAGAGAGTAGTTTAAGCCAGCTCACCACGAGTAAAGGGGACAGAGGTCTGCAGGGCCACCCATGAAGTGGAAGGTTTGAGATAATGTTTCTCTTTGTCTCAGAGTCCTGCTCTCTAACCCCTACCTTTATAAACTTGATTTTAACTTTAAAAATAATCTCTGGGCTTTGGAAGTCTTTTTGTGTTTTGTTTTGTTTTTGAGACAGGGTCTAGCCAGGCTTTGTCCTAGGATCAAATGATCTTCCCATGTTGCTGGGATTATAGGTGTGAACCACTGGACCTGGTCACATACTTGGATTGTTAAGTTATATTTGTACACAGTATGGGCTGACATGCTGATGGACTTCAAGAATTTCCTTTTTTTTGAGACAGAGTCTCACTATGTCGCCCTTGATAGAGTACTATGGCGTCACAGCTCACAGCAACCTCCAACTCTTGGGCTCAAGTGATCTTTTTGCCACGGCCTTCCAAGTAGCTGGGACTACAGGTACCCACCACAACACCTGGACAGTTTTTAGAGACAGGGTCTTACACTTGTGCCGGCTGGTTTTGATCTCTTGACCTGCAGCAATCCACCTGTCTTGGCCTTCCAGAGTGCTAGGAATACAGGCCTGAGCTACCACGGCTGAGAGAATATTCATCTTGAAGTAAGGATAAGGGGAGTTTTTGACATTTCTAGTTCTTGACTATCACTACTATTTTACAGTAAACATAAGACTTTTGAAGTAGGCCAGGCGAGTTGGCCGATACCTAATAATCCTAGCACTCTGGGAGGCTGAGGTGGATGGATTGCCTGAGCTCACAGGTTTGAGATCAGCCTGAGCAAGAGTAAGATCCCATCTCTAAAAATAGCCAGGTGTTGTGGTGGGCACCTATATTCCCAGCTACTTGGGAGGCTGAGGTAAGAGAATTGCTTGAGCCCAAGTGTTAGAGGTTGCTGTGAGCTATGACGCCAGGGTGAAACTGTCTCAAAAAAAAAAAAAAGACTTTTGTAGGAAAGATGTGAAAAAAATTCCATGGCCTTGTGCTTGGGGAAGAAGTGATTTCATTTTTAAAAACACAGCCCCAAGGGCATGTCTGTGGCTCCAGGACTCCAGGGACAAGGCTTATCTACTGAAGCTCAGTATAGAGGGCATGAGGAAAAGGTGATGGGTCTGCTCCAGGGAAAGCTTTTCATTTTTTTTATAACTGCAAAAGTGATTCACACTCGGGTGGGGTCTATGACTCAGTGGGTGGAGCACCACCCCCATATACCAAGGGTAGTGAGTTCAAACCCAGAAATGGCCAAACTGCAACAAAAAAATAGCTGGGTGTTGTGGCAGGAGCCTGTTATCTACTACTTGGGAGGCTGAGGCAAGAGAATCGCGTAAGCCTAGGAGTTAGAGGTTGCTATGAGCTGTGTGACGCCACGGCACTCTGCCCAAGGCAATAAAATGAGACTGTGTCTCTTAAAAAAAAAAAAAAAAGTGATGCACACTTCTCATAAAGAAAATGTGAGACCAAACACAGAAGCTCCTGTTAGGTCCTGTCTGGGCCGTCCCTCCCCTCCCCTCCCTTCCCCCCGTGGGCCTTCCCAGCTCATCTACCTGCCTCTAGACAGTGGCCCTGCAAGTGGGGACAGGGCCTGCTGACTCTCTGCATCTGTGTGGAGGGGAGAGGAGGTGAGCTCCCTGGGACACAGGAGGCATCCTCCCTCCTGAATCTGTCAATCCCAGGCCATTTGGTGGCAACAAACAGGGTCCAACACTGGCTTCTGAGGGGACAAGGCCATCCACTCAGGGCACCTAATGGAATAAGTCTCTGTGTTGAGGACAGGGCACAGTTCTCACAGCCGCAAAGAGGGAGGCTGGGGTGAGCTCTACACGGAGAATGGGAGCTCTATGTGGGCCATGGTGGTGCTGTTGAAAGCTAGACAAGGTAGCGAGCAGGTACACACTGCACAGACACAAGAGCTCTGCTTCCCAAAAGGCCTGGGAGTGGCCAAGGTGTGGTCATTGGGACTGTTCTCCACTCAAAGGCACTAGCTGGCAGTCTCAGGGCTGGACAGGGAGAGACCAGTGTGAGCCTGGAGCACTCAGAGATCCAGAAAGGAATGAAATGCTCAGAAAATGGAGCCACGTCAAAGGATAAGGAAATGTCAGCAGTAAAATCTTCGGCAGTGGTTCTCAACCTTCCTAATGCCATGGCCCTTTAATACAGTTCCTGTGGGTTTCAACCCACAGGTTGAGAACCACTGATCTAGGGGCTGGGCATACTGGATCATCACAAGAGTATTTTCAATTTTGTTATATGTTTGAATTTTTCACAATAAAATGTTGTAGATGAAAAACGTACAAGGAGGAGAAAAGCCAAGTCTGGGACAGTTTAAGCAACAACACCTGATCTCAGCCAAGAGGCATGGTTAGCAGCAAAGTAGTGTTGACAACAGAAGCTCACAGTGTAAAGTGGGATCCCGTGTCTAAACTAATAGGAATAAACTAAATGAGAGAAGGCAATCTTCCTAATGGCAGAGGGCTACTGGATAAATGCTGAGAGGCAAGGAAAGCCAGTGAGAGGACCAGGACAGCAGACACCAACAAGACCTCAGAGCTCCTCCCCAAACACCCAGTCACACCAAAACCAGGTGTGACAATGACAGGACCGCCAAGGAGAATGCTGGGTCACTTCTGTGGCATCATTGCTAAAAGTGGGTCAACTACCCAGGAATGCACACCAGACAAGCCTGGACGGAGGAAGGAAGGGCTGGTGAAATTCTGCCAAAGGTTAGACAGTACATATTCCAGTCTCTGTGGGCCCTGTGGTCTCCACTGCAGCCACACAGCCCTGCTGGTGTGGTGACAGCAGCCATGCTGGGCCTTTGCCCTGTATACATAACTTTAAAAATGCTTTATTAATACAAACAGGCAGCACTAAGACATTAAGTATCTATGTCTTAGTAAACAGGTGGCAACTCTATATCCAGGCCAATAGGATGCTTGAAGGAGATGGCAACAGACCAGATCCCATGGTGGAGATGGCAACTTTGCAGGTGAAGGGGACCCAGCTGTAACAGCTTTTCAAGTTTTCTCTCCTCATCAAGGATCATGAGAGTCATTCTATTCAATCTGGTGCTCTTCAGGGAGGTCAAAACTTTTAAAATCTAGAGCAGACGTCCTCAAACTACGGCCTGCGGGCCCCATGCAGCCCGCCTGGGACATTTATCCGGTTCGCCGGGTGTTTTTGCCGCCACTGCCTGTCCTGCTTAGCAGCCGACTCATCCCGGAGCCTGTAGTCTGGCCCTCCAACGGTCTGGGGGACAGTGAACTGGCCCCCTGTTTAAAAAGTTTGAGGACCCCTGATCTAGGGGATTGAAGGGAAAGAATTTTTCTTTCTTCCTTTTTTTTTTTTGAAATAGTCTCACTATGTCACCCTCATTACCATGGCATCACAGCTCACAGCAACCTCAGATTCTTGGGCTTAAGCGATTCAGCCTCTCAAGTAGCTGGGATTATAGGCACCTGCCACAATGCCCAGCTATTTTTTTGGTTGTAGTTCTCATTGTTTGGCAGGCCTGGGCTGGATTCAGACCCTCCAACTCCAGTGTATGTGGTTGGCACCCTAGCTGCTGAGCCTTTTTCTTTTTTTTTGAGACAGTCTCACTATGTTGCCCTCAGTAGGATGCTGTGGCATCACAGCTCACAGCAACCTCAAACTCTCGGGCTCAAGTGGTCCTCTTGCCTCAGCCTCCCAAGTAGCTGGGACTACAGGTGCCTGCCACAATGCCCGGCTATTTTTGAGAGACGGGGTCTCTTAGCTCAGGCTGGTCTTGAACTCATGAGCTCAGGCAATTTGCCCACCTCAGCCTCTCAGAGTGCTAGGATTACAGGTGTGAGCCACTGTGCCTGGCTGGAAAGAATTTTTCTATCTCTGGATAGGTGTTGTCTGCAGCAGGAACAGAGCTTTTTGCCTCAGGCTTCTCAGTCACCTTTTTTGCAGGGAAATTTGGCTGTTTTTGTTGAGGGTCCATTAGTCTTTATTGACATTTCTGTAGCTCTGTTAATACTTTAAGGCTGGCTCAGCGCCTGTGGCTCAAGCGGCTAAGGCGCCAGCCACATACACCTAAGGTGGCAGGTTCGAATCCCCAGCCCGGGCCCGCCAAACAACAATGATGGCTGCAACCAAAAAGATGGCCAGGCGTGGCAGGCGCCTGTGGTCCCAGCTACTTGGGAGGCTGTGGCAGGAGACTCGCTTGAGCCCAGAAGTTGGAGGTTGCTGTGAGCGTGATGCCATGGCACTCTACCCAGGGGGATAGCTTGAGGCTCCGTCCAAAAAAAAAAAAAAAATAAGGCTGGTGGAGCATCATACATTTTGCCAATGTGTGGTGTTGACACCTGGGATCTCCCATCTAAAGCTTTGACTAAAGGTCTAGAACTCAACTTCAGCCCATCTTTGAGAGCCACTCGTTGAGTGGCTGGTTCTCCATTTTCCTTATAGACAAAGATCAGAGTAGTCATCCTGGATTCTAAGGATGAGAAACACATTAGATGCTAGGGACTTGGGAAGGTGAGAGAAGCTAAGCCCCAGCAATAGACCAAACTTTCTGTCCTGGGTATGTCCACACAAAAACAAGAGCTGAGCACAGAGAGGGGCACAAGCTTGAGCCAGCGAGCACTTACGTCTTCCAGCCTGAGTCAGAGGTTCTCATGTTCTGAGAGGCAGGGGGTTTGGAGCTGGTACCCATCAGAAGACAAATTGCCATGGGGAATTTTCAGTGTGAGGCCACAGCTTAACCAGGCTTAGAACCATCAACACCCCAGAAATGCCACCCCTCACCCCTAGCCAAGCCTCACAGCTTCTAGCCCAGCCCTAGACATCCCTCCTCCCTGCTGGGCCCAGCTCAACCACTTGCCTTTTTTATTTTTTTTTTGAGACAGTCTCACGCTGTCACTCTGGTAGAATGCTGTGGAGTCACAGCTCATAGCAACCTCAAACTCTTGGGCTTAAGCGATTCTCTTGTCTCAGCCTCCCAAGTAGCTGGGACTATAGGCACTCACCACAACGCCTGGGTATTTTTTGGTTGTAGTTGTCATTGTTGTTTGGCAGGCCCAGGCTGGATTCGAATCCGCCAGCTCCAGTGTATGTGGCTGGCACTCTAGCCCTTGAGCTGCAAGTGCTGAGCCAACTTTTCTTGACTGTATGTCAGACCTTCTTGTTATATTGTTAGACATCATTCTAGGTGATATACAGTTTATTCATGTTGACTTATTGCAAGTGGGCATTGATTTTGGGGACCCAGGGCTATAGAAGTGCAGTTGGCCCCCCAGGATGTATCTGCAGTCTTATCCTCACATGCAGGTGTGTGTGTGTGCGCGCGCGCGCGCGCGTGTGCACATAGAGGTGGCTGTGACCTCCCCTTCCTTGAAACAGATAGGCGGAGTGGACAGGCAGTGCCACCCCCACCTTCCTGGGCAAACACCCACAGTTGAATTGTCCAGCTCAGCCCATCATAGGCAGGAGTGATGTATCCCACTACCCCTCACTGATCACTGAAAACATTCCTTGCACCTTTCTATGAGCAGTTAATATCGCATGAGCAGTTTGAGTGGACCAGTGTGCTCTGGTGAGAGGTCAGCTCTGCCCACTGAGTGTCTGTCCTCACCTCAGAGTGGCCTTCAAGCCTCAGGGTGCACTTAGAAACCCTGGCCCCCTGGCTCGGCGCCTATAGCTCAACGGGCTAAGGCACCAGCCATGTACACCTAAGGTGGCGGGTTCGAATCCCCAGCCTGGACCCGCCAAACAACAATGATGGCTGCAACCAAAAAATAGCCGGGCGTTGTGGCGGGTGCCTGTGGTCCTAGCTACTTGGGAGGCGGAGGCAAGAGACTCGCTTGAGCCCAGGAGTTGGAGGTTGCTGTGAGCTGTAATGCCATGGCACTCTACCCAGGGGGACAGCTTGAGGCTCTGTCTCAAAAAAAAAAAAAAAAAAAACCCTGGCCCCCAACTCCATGGCACATACTCAAGGTGCTCTGTGGGGCCTGGGTCTGAGAGCCTCTCTGTTTTGTTTTGTCTTGTTTTGAGACAGAGTCTCACTTTGTCGCCCTCAGTAGAATGCCATGGCATCAATGGTGTCACAGCTCACAGCAACCTAAAACTCTTTGTGCTTAAGCGATTCTCCTGCCTCAGTCTCCCAACTAGGTGGGACTATAGGGGCCCACCACAACACCCAGCTACTTTTTGGTTGTAGTTGTCATTGCTGTTTGGCAGGCCCAGGCTGGGCTTGAACCCACCACCTCTGATGTATGTGGCTGGCGCCCTAGCCACTTGAACTACAGGCCTGGAGCCATGGGGACCTCTCTAGAGCACCCAGGGAACAGCCAACCCAGCAGCCAGAGCTAGACATCGGGTGCGACGGGCCCTTTGCCCAGGTGGGAGGGTGAGGCTCTGAGGGGTGTGCCACTGCCTGGTGCTTCACCAGAGATGCTTGAGGTAAGTCTGGGAGTCTAGGGAGTCCCCCTGTTGATAGGGGCCTCCCCATGCCTGCCCTGCCTGTGTTCTCCTGGCCTAAACCTCCCCTAGGGAGCCACACTCAGAGTGACCCCACTTCCCACCCTAACCAGATCCTTTTCCTGCAGACTTTAGGTCCCTGGGCCTCAGAGATCCTCCTCCTTGGTGGGCCTCAGGCACACTCCTATGAGCTCTGTGACCTTGGACATGCACAGAGCTGCCACCCCTGCCCTCCTGGGCCTGGTCTTGATGTTAGCAGACAGCCGTGTGTGAGCCCTGGCTCTTGCAGGGTTTCTTTCCACCCACAGTGCCCTGCCCCATCTCTCCAGAGTGCCTGTGGATACCCAGTTGGGGTGAGGGTGGTGTGGGCACAGGCTGCCCATGTGCAGATTGAAGGTCTGACCTGCAGGCCGTGAGCCCTACAGAGGGTCCGGACAGTACCCCATGAGCTCAGCAGCTCCGTGTGCTCATGAAGGCCTGGTGGGCTGGCAGGGCTGAGGCCAAACCACAAAGGGCTCCGAGAACCGAGGAACCACATGCAAGCCTGTGGAGCCTGCCAATCGGAGCTGAAGCCACTTCTGCCCACAGGTCTCTGAGAATCGGCGTGCAGATCTCCCTGGACTACTGGTGGTGCACAAACGTTGTCCTACGAGGGGTGCAAGAGGTCTGCACCCACACCCTGGGCACATGACGGGGGCACATTGGAGGGGGACGGCTGGGTGGGACTAAGAGGCGGTCACCTGCCCTCCATCCCTTCCCTCCATGCCTGTGGTCAGAACAGCCCGGAGTACCTGGAGGTGATGTCTGCGTGTCACCAGCGGGCAGCTGATGCCCTGGTGGCAGGGGCCATCTGCAACGGGGGTCTCTATGTGAAGCTTGGTCAAGGACTATGCTCCTTCAACCACCTTCTACCCCCCGAGTACATCAAGACCCTGCGTGTGTTGGAGGACAAGGCCCTCACGCGGGGCTTCCAGGAGGTGAGCCCTGCCCCAGGGCCATGGGTGGGCTGGGGCTTGCAGCAGCCATAATGCCCCATACTTGCCCCTGCAGGTGGATGAGCTATTTCTGGAGGACTTCCAGGCCCTACCCCACGAGCTCTTCCAGAAGTTTGACTACCAGCCAGTGGCCGCTGCCAGCCTGGCACAGGTGCACCGTGCTACACTGCATGATGGCACAGCGGTGGCTGTGAAGGTACATAGGGGCCTGCCTTGGGCTGTGGGGGCTCTGAGGAGAGTGCTGTGGTCCTCGCTGCTGGCTCCCATGCAGGTGCAGTACATCGATCTGCAGGATCGCTTCGATGGGGACATCCACACACTGGAGCTGTTGCTGCGGTTTATTGAGCTCATGCATCCCAGCTTTGGCTTCAGCTGGGTTCTCCAGGTGCAGTTAGCACAGCAGGCAGGGGCCAGCTGCACCCATCACACACTTGACCCTAGGCCTGACCACCCACATGTGACCCCCAGGACCTGAAGGACACCCTAGCTCAGGAGCTGGACTTCAAGAACGAGGGCCATAACTCTGAGCGCTGTGCGCAAGAGCTGGGGCACTTCCACTACCTCGTGGTCCCCCGTGTGCACTGGGACAAGTCAAGCAAGGTGCGTTAGGCCAGGCCCCTCACGGGTGGGGGAGGTGCGGGCAGCTGAGCACAGCCTCTTCCTCTCTTCCAGCGAGTGCTGACGGCTGACTTCTGTGAGGGTTGCAAGGTCACTGACATTGAGGCCATCACAAGCCAAGGGCTGGCGGTGCAAGACGTGAGTGCTGTGCACAGGGTTGGGGTGGCAGGGTGCTGTCTGCATCCACTGCATGCTCCCCTCTCTCCCCAGGTAGCAGAGAAGCTGATCAAGGCTTTTGCTGAGCAGATATTTTACACGGGTTTCATCCACTCTGACCCCCACCCAGGCAATGGTAGGAAACCCTCCAGGGAAGGGGTTTCAGGGTGGGATGGTAAGAACTAATGTGTTGTATCCTTAGTTCTGGTGCGGAAAGGCCCAGATGGGAAGGCAGAGCTGGTGCTGCTAGACCATGGGCTCTACCAGTCCCTGGATGAGAAGTAAGAGCGGGGGTTGGGGGTGGTACAAGCCTCCCCCAGGGTCTGAACCTGTCTACTTTGGGCTCTGGGATCACGCTGGGCTGGGCCTATCCACCCTGTCCACAGGGACCGGTCAGCCCTGTGCCAGCTTTGGCGGGCCATCATCCTGAGGGATGACACTGCGATGAAGGTGCATGCAGCTGCACTTGGGGTGCAGGGTGAGCAGGTGTGTTGGTGGGGGGGGGGGGCAGCAGCTTTTGAGGCAGAGCCCTGGCTCAGGCCTGGTGGTCTCCCCAGACTATTTGCTGTTCTCCGAGATGCTCATGCAGCGGCCTGTGCGCCTGGGGCAGCTGTGGGACTCCCACCTGCTGAGCCACAAAGAGGCAGCCTACATGCAAGACATGGCCCGAGAGCACTTTGAAGCCATCATGGCCGTGCTCAAGGCCCTGCCACGGCCCATGCTGCTTGTGCTTCGTAACATCAACACTGTGCGTGCCATCAACACAGCCCTGGGCACCCCTGTCGACCGCTACTTCCTCATGGCCAAGAGGTTGCTGATTGGATGGGCACTTGAAGGGAGGTGTAGGGCAGGGCAGGGCAGGGCAGGGCAGGGCAGGGCCAGACTGGGGCCAACCTGCAGATCTGTGTAGGGCAGTCCGGGGCTGGAGCCGCCTGGTGGGCGCAGCATATCAGGGCATCTATGGCACCAGCCTCCTGCGCCACATCAAGGTCATCTGGGAAGTGCTCAAGTTTGAAGTGGCCCTGAGGTGAGTGGACCAGTACAGCTAGCAGGGCAGTGCCTAGGGCCTGCTCTCCACCAATCTGTGCTCTCACGTGCCCTCTCCAGGCTGGAGATCCTGGCCATGCGGCTCACCGCCCTCCTGGTCCGTGTGCTGGCCCACCTGGGCTTTGTGCCCCAGGCCGAGGAGCTCTACCAATACCTGGAGACCTAGGGAACCTGGGGCCAGGACAACCAACGGAGCAGCCTAGGGCCAACAGGGCTCATCCAGCTGCAGGCCCAACTGAGCTGCCTAAAAATGGCGGTACAGATTCCCTAAGATCCAGGGGTTGGGGGGTGGGAGCGGAACAACTATAATCAGCAGCTAGAGACAAACTGTGGCTGTGACCACAGCCAGGCCAAGTGGCCATACAATGACCACATGCTCATCTTAAATCTTTTTCCTTGTGTTTTTGTACAAAAGGGGTGGGAAGTAGTGCATGGGCAGCAGTAGCATCCACAAGGCTAGAAGTGGGCAGTGACGCGGTCTGTCTCCAGCAGGTCGTCCAGGATCTGCAGGAAGAGGGGGAAGGTGAGGCTACAGGCCGACAAACTAAGCAGGGGTGGGCCAGGACCAGGGCTGGGGCCACTCACGATGTCAGGCGTGGTGCCAATCTTCTTGGCCAGCTCTCCACGCTCCATGGTACTGAGGTAGAGGTAGCGGTTAAGCAGCTCCCCATCCAGCACGTTCCGCACCGCATTCTGCAGGACACGCCTGTCCACATGCAGCATCCTGGGGTGTATGCAAGTGGCAGGGTTAGAGCAGACCTGGGCGGGAGGTGGGGTGGGCAGGAAGGAGGCGCAGAGCTCACCGGAAGGCACGGGGGTTGAGGCCGGCATGGTGGGGCAGCATGGTGGTCAGTGCATTCTGCAGCATGAGCAGCCGCCGATAGGTTTTCTCTTGCATGGGCAGCAGGAGCCCAATGCCGCCATCCAGGGTGGCTGGTGGGGTAGTGCAATATGAATGAGGCCAGACCTCCACGTCCCACCCCTACACAGCCACCTAGGCACTCACCAAACCACGTGATGTGTTTATTCTCCCACACAACGGACTTCTTGCTGGGCCCCTCTGTGGCACCCCGGCATGGGGTCCTCCAGAACGTGTTCACATGGGCACCCACGTGGAAGTCTGCCCTGCGCAGGAGGCGCATGCCCCCAAAACTCTCCTTGGCTAGACCAGAAGAACCTCAGGTCACTGCCTGCTCAGCCCCCATCCCAGGAAGAGGTAGGGTGGAGAAGCCACTCACCTTCTGGCAGGTACATGTACACCATGAGGTTACGGTCTCGGTCAGACACTGGGGAGCAGAGGCCTAGTCATCCTCAGTCATCCCGAAGCCCCAGCCTTCCCCTAAGGCCCTGCATGCTCACCCAGGAAGCCTAGCTGAGCATTGTCCACCATGAAGTCCACACTGTACACCTCCAGGGGCTTGGCATCCTAAGACCAGGAGGGGCACGGTGTCAGGACTGGCCTTAGACCAGACCCCACCCAGACACAGGCGCCCAGGTCTGCAGGTACCCGGGACACAAGACTCAGCGTCTTGCTCTCCTCCTGGTAGCGCAGTAGTGAGATGCTCTTCATGACGTCTGCAGCCAGAATGAAGTTCTTAACGCTGATCATCTGGTGGATGTAGAGCTGTGTGTCGATGAAGGCCATACCCGTCAGCTCGCTGGCCCGTAGGCTCCATAGGAAGATCTAGGAGGCAGGAGGGGGTGAGCCAGGGCAGATGCCAGTGGCAGGGCACAGGGAACGGGATGGTACACCTTCTGGCCGATGGCTGACACCAGGTGGCCGTTGCAGTGGCACAGGGCAGTCACAGGTCCCTTCTGCTCCTTCTCATAAAGGACCTTGAACTTGTTCTTGGTCAAAGGCTGGCCAGGCTCAGGTACCACCTCGATGACATCCATGATCAGGATCTAGCAGGGCATAGGAATGTGTGGGGTGGCGCAGGGTCTGCCAGAAGCTGCCCTCCCCCCACGCACCATGCGACCTCCGCTGCTGTGCCCTTACCCGCCCACGGCACGTGACCTCCTCCCCCTGCATGAGGCAGGTCCCGGCAGCCACGTAGCCCTTGAGGCCTGACACAGTCTCCTCACTGCGCAGCGAGACCGTCTTCATGCAGGTCACATGCTCCCATTCCTCCAGCTCGATCCTGCACAGGGCAGGCATATCAGGGTAGCACCCCCACCAGCTCCAGGAGCCCCTGCCCAGCCCCAGCCTTACCTGGCATTGGGAATGGCCTCCCAGCTGACTGGGGAGATGAGCTGGATGGAGAAAGCCTCCTGCTGAGGGTGGATATACCGATCATCTGCAGGGACCAAGGGCAACATCATGGCAGGGCTTGCCTGAGCCAAGACCCAGCAGGCAACTGTGGCACTTGTGTCACGCACCTCTCTCAATGGTTTCAAACTCCTTCTCCTCCCCGGTCATGCGCGGGATGCGGGTACACGGGGTGTTGGTGCTGGTGGCCACGGCGTACACCTGGGGGTGGGAGGGTCTCATGCACCAGAGGCCAGGCCCACCTGTGCCGGGCAGAGTTGGGGTTGGGACTGGGCAGACCTTAGACTCCACGTGGTAAGCCACGTAATGGGCCGTGCAGCGTAGGGGGATCTTCCTGACGGGCCACGGAGCATCATAGGACAAGTAGGCTGGAAGGACGCTGATCCTCAGCTCACCCTGGGGTAGGGCAACAGGGTCAGCAAAATGAGGCAGGCTGATCTGGCTGCCAAGGGCTCCCTGGGATACTGCTCCCAAGCTCAGCTGGAGCAGGGGAGGCATGGACCTGCTGTGTCAGGCCATACCCCAGAAGGGGCCATAGCACTGGCACCCAGACTCCTCTGATGTCAGTCAGTTCCTGCCCACTCTCCCAGGCTGGTGATGCTGGTCTCAGACAGGAGGGCTGGGCTCAGAGGGCACTGGAAGCTGCAAGCAAAGGGTGGCCCACAGACTGGCCATGCCAGGGACTAAAAACAGGCAGAGGAAGCCCTGTGCTGCCTGCCTTCACTGATAGTCATGAGCCTGTTGGAGGCACTTGCCACACAGTCCGAAGCCAGAGTGACTCAGGTTGATGGTGCTATTGTCTCAGCAGCACGGTGAGGAAACAATGTGCCTCCCAAAAGTCAACGAGGACAGAGGTTGGGTTCACACCAGCTCCACCTGGCTCCTGAGGAAGGGCTGGGGCCAGCAGGGCAGTGCAGCGCCCTCCTCAGCCACACCCTCCACTTCCACGGTTTCCTCCTCCAGACCTTCCCAGTATTAAGTCCTACCCACACCACTCTTGGGACACTCCCTCCTGTCCCCACCATCTGCCCCAGGTGTCCAAGGTCCTACCTGTCTGTTGAAGTAAAGGAAACCACGGGGGCAGTTGACATTGTGGAAAGGAGCAAAGGAGTCAATGGGACCATCAATGCCCATGGGGTGCAGGCGCAGAGCCCCTCGGCCAGTCACGAGAAGCCAGTGGGGTGAGGGACCGCAGATGAACACCTGGGGCAGGCTCTATGAGGGTACTGCAAACAAGGCCACACCTCCTGTCCAACCTCAGGCCCCCACAAAGCCACATGCTTACCCCTGAATAGCCATAAATGTCCTCAAAGTATCGGAAACGTGCCACACGGCCCCGAACCCCAGCCCCCTCTTCAGTGCTGCCACCTTCTGCTTTCTTCTTAGATGGCTTTGGCTTCTTTTCACGGAAGTTGATGTTGTGGGGTACCTGGAGGGGCACCATGAAGGCCAGGTCCTCCAGTGCTGCTGCCTGGACCCCACCCCATCCTACACCAAACATCCTTTGTGCTTAGCAGTCCAACCACCTGTTTTGTTTTATTTTGTTTGTTGAGACAGAGTCTAACTATGTCGCCTTGGTAGAGTACTGTGGTGTCACAGCTCACAGCAACCTCAGACTCTTGGGCTCAAGTGATTCTCTTGGCTTAATCTCCCAAGTAGCTGAGACTACAGGCATCCAACACAACACCTGGCTAATTTTTGTTGTTGTCATTTAGCAGGCCCAGGCCAGGTTCAAACCAGTATATGTGGCCAGCACCCTAATCACTGAGTTATGGCCGCAGAGCCCACCTCTACCTTCTTAAAGCGGACTTTCAGGTTTCCCTGGCCGAGCTGAGAGTCGTGGGGGAAGGCCTCGTAGATGAGCAGCTCCTGGTCTACGTGCACCTGGGAGGGCAGAGGGGCTTTGGGGATAGGGCAGGGCCTTGGGGATGGGGCGGGGATGCAGGGTCCCTAGTGTCCTGGCCTGGCTCACCAGCAGGTAGGGCCTGCTCTGACGACTCCCTAGCGCAACGAGCAGGACTTCCTTGACCAGGGGCAGCTCGCCCTGGCGTGTGGCCTCCTCCTTGCGAGCCTCACCCTGGGTGGTGGGCTGTCCAAAAGAGCTGTCTACCAGGACCCGTTGTCCCACAGGGAAGTTCTTCACCAGGAATACCAACCGCCAGTCTGGGAGCTGGTAGATCTGGAAGGAGCAGCAGTCAGTGGAAGCAGCAGCTGGTAGGACAAGATGGGTTGTGCCCTCACAAGGGTGCCACCCACCTCCATGGTGCCATTCTCCCGCACCAGCAGGCACCAGTGTGTAGGCTCTGCCCGAAAGGGTGCAGGATCCCTGTCGGCAGGGGGCTGGCTGCTTCTTCGGGCTTCCTCCTTGCTGGGGCTGAAGAGGGAGCCCGAGTCCCCATATAGCATCTCCTCCTCGTCATCCACCGTAGGGCTGGGGGCCAGCAGAGGTGTCACAGGTAGCCTGCCTGGCACAGGGACCCAGGCCTTCCCAGTGTCCAGGCCCCCCCACACACCTGGTCTCTGAGCCTAGGCCCTCCATCTCTGAGCCACTGCGGCCCCCTAGCTCGTCACGGGCCCCGCCCAGGCGGCTCTCAGTAGTGAACATGCCGCTGAGGTCGCGGTACAAACACAGTGTGATCACCTTGGACTGCTGCAGGAAGAGGGCAGGGCTCAGCAGCCAGGGGGAGGGGGGAGGGGCAAGCTGGGGGTGGGCGGAGGAGTGGTTGGGGGGCCTACATGGTGCAGCGGGGGCTTGTGTAGTGCCAGGCGGTGGTGACGTCCGCTGTAGGAATCACTCTTGAGGAGAAACATGGTGACATGGCCTTCAGCACTCATGATGACCACGTAGGGGTCTGCCACAGCACACTGCACAATAGGTGCACCCAGATCCACAGGGATAAAGTGTAGCTGGTTCACTGTGGGCACAGAACAGTCAGCACATACTTCCCCAGACCTGCCTGCCCACTCAGCCCCAGCACCCACCTCCTTCTAGCAGGCGGATGCCCAGCGGTGACACTTGAACGATGTAGCGATTATCCCCAATGTTTCCAGCAAAGACTGTGGGGCCCTGTGTGGCAAAGCCACTGGTGTCCAGCTCCATGATCTCCTGTCCCGTCTGCAAGATCTGAAGGAAACAGTGGGGAGGTGAGCCCCTCTCCAGGGGACCATGCCCCAGCCACTTCCAAGTCTTGCCCCTCACCATGGTGGAGTCTTCTCGACTCAGAATAAGGAAGCCATGTCTGCGCCCGTCCTCCTCTCCTTCAGGAACACCAGATTCCTGCTCTGTGCCCTCCCCCTTGGGGGTCTCCTCCTGTGAGGGCTGGAGGAGCAGGCAACTGCATCAGTGAGAACAAGCATGTGGCTATGCCCTCCTGGCCCCTCTGCTCCCCAGCTGCCCCACATGCAGCCCATAGGAAGGCAGTGCCAGTCCCATGGCCTCAGCACATGCCTACCTCTTCCTTACGCACAGAAGCGATGACCGTCCACATGTCATAGCAGCCAGGAAGCTCAAAGGTAGTGACCACCTGGGGCCGGATGCTCTTCTGGAAAGACAAGGTAGGTGGTTAGCCTACCCAGGAGGTCCTATCAAATGACATTAGCCCCACCTTCCCCACACACCTGCAGCACTGACAAGGCCCCATTCTTCCCGTAGCCGGAGCAAACCACGATCTCCAGGTCTGGCTCAGGGCTGTTCTGAAACTACAGGGGCTGAGGAGTTACAGATCATGCCCCCCCGCACAGGTCCCAATCCCTGCCCCAGCCCCCTTGGCACCTCTTCAGAGAGGAAAGCAGGCTCGCCCATGGCAGCGTTGGCACAGGGTCCAATATTGAGGATGCTGTCACACACCTGTAGGCATAGCAGCAGTTGGGGGCTGGCCAGGGTGGGGGCCGGCCAGGGTGGGGGCCCCTGCTTCCCTCAGCCTCACCTCAAAGGAGTAGGTGGCCAGCTGTGTACCGGACTGGGCCTCGCTGCCATATACCTCAATCTCATCCACCTCATCCTGTGGCACCGACTTGCCCCCTGCAGCACAGAGAGCACCCACCTAAGTCCAGCCCAGATCACTGGCCCCTTACCTGACCAGTCCTGGACCAGCTTCTCACCTGACCAACCCACTGAGGGGTCCACTCTCTTCTTCTTTGAGGGAGGTTCTTCCTATGAGGTAGATTAGGGCAGTTAGTGGCTCTCCAAGGCCAGCCCCACAAATCTAGGACAACCCCCTTGTCAACACCCACCTTGTCTGCAGACTCTCGGGTGGCACTGGCTGGGGGCTCCTGCAGTTTCTCTGTGTACTTGAGGAGCAGGGAGTTGCCCAGGCGAGAGCCCAGGAACAGGTACCCGGGCTCCATGGTGACCATCTGGGGAAGGGCAGGTGGGTGAGGGCAGGGCCTCGCCTGGACCAAGGGCCAACCCCCCAGTCCCAACTCACACTGGTGGTGAGGACACTGGCGGCTGCCTTGTCAAAGTGGAACGCTCGGACACTGCGCATGCCGTCTGTGATGAGTGTCAGCACGTAACTGGGGGAAGGGAGGTCTTGAGTGGGGACACCAGGCTCCAGACTGAGTGGGGGCAAGACTGGGTTGGTGGTGGGAGGTAGGAGCTCACATTTCACCACCCTTGAGGGAGATGACCATCTTGTCATAAGAGATGAAGGCAGCCTGTGCGCAGTCCAGGGTGATCCGCACACCCTCCTGGGTACCTGTGGGGTGGGCAGTCAGGCCAACTGGCCATACTGCTGCCCAGGCCCACCTTGACCCCACCCGCACTCACGTAGGGGAAAGGCAGTGGTGCCTGTGGTAAGGCTGTTGAGGGCGACACCATAGGGGGGCACGCTCTGGTTCAGGTACAGCAGTGAGTTGACAGCAAATATCACCACCCCACCTGGAGGGCACAAGTTGGTGGACAGGGTGGGGCACAGGGCCCCCATGCTCCCATGCCCCACCCCTAGAGCCCGAGGGCCCTCACCTATGGGCTTAGGCACAGCCAAAGCCTGGGTGCAGTCAAAAGGCAGGCTAGTGAGGGACCAGATGACAGGGTGGACCTTCTGCGTGATGTTCAGTGAGATGGCCACAATGGAGCATGTATCCTGCCTCACAGCCACCCTCCTGGAGCAGCAGGCAGGTCAGAAGAGCCCAGCGCCCCCCTCAGCCAGCCCCACACCCCAGAGCCCTGTCCAACCACACGCCAGGCAGAGTTGGCTCAGAGCCCACAGCACAGGAGCCTCCTTGGGTGTCTCACCCAGGCCAGGTCTGGTTGGGCTCAAACAGGATGAGCAGGGTGGGCTCGTAGTAGCCGTGCAAGAATTGCAGGTCAACGATGTTAAGCAGCTTCTCATCCAGGGCCCGCACATCAATGATATAGCTAGGCAGGAAGCTGGACCTCTGCCTGGAGGTCCAGGGACTTCAGCAGAAGGGGAGGGAGAGGAGCTTGGGCTCCAGCACCCCCAGAACCATGGACCACCCTGCCTGACACTCACCCCTCGCCCACGAGCCCCTCATGCTCCTCGGCCAGACTCTCTCGGCGGAAAGGCAGCACCACCAGCCGTGTACCGTAGACAAGCATGGCCGCACAGCGCCCGTCAGGGTCCACCCGCACCCGAGGCGTATGCACGTTTTGCACAAACCCGTCCTGGGAGCAGAGGGACATCAAGCAGGACGAATGCAGGAAGACCCACAGGGCACATGTGGGGCAGTAGAATAAAGCCGGTAGGGGAGGGAGAGTAGCTAGGCTGGGGCCTGGGTGGTAGGTCTGGGTTTGGCCCTACCCGAAGCTCAGGCTCCTCAAAGTAGTGCAGGGACAGGGTCTTCAGATCGTGGGTACCTGGGTCATACTCCACCACTGACAGCTGGGGGGTGGAGTTCAAAACTGTGGCCTGCCTGCTGCTGGCTCTGTCAGTGCCAGTCAGCCTCTGCCCAGCACTGGCCTCCAACACCACTGTGCCCGACACCCTGGCCAGGCCCTCAAGCCCATCACTCACCTTGGCATCCTTGAAGCTCAGGAGCAAGGCATCCCGCTTGGCACCTGCCAGCTGCACACTGGCCATGGACATGACATTGCCAAAGAAAGAGAAGGAGGCTGCCAGCTCCAGCTTCTCCCGGTGGGCCTTCCCTTCTAGGTGAGAGGCCAGTGGGCTAAGGTCTCCATCATGTACCCTGGAATGCACACACCTCTAGGGTGGGGCCTAGGGTGGGACCTAGGGCAGGGCTGTACTTACCTGTGCTCCTGTCATTTTTGGTGAGAACCTGGAAGAGGGAAGAAAAGAAGGCATGAAGAGCACACATCTGAGGGCCTCACTTTGTTCAGAGGAAAGGAATGCAGGAAAAAACCACTCAGTGGCCCCTGACACAGAGTCCTCCCCAAACCCTCTCTGCAGAGGGGAGAATGCACCCTCGCCAACTGGAGCCAACTCACACTCATGTATCTGCACCCTAACCCTGGCACAGGGCTCCCCCACAAGAGGCTCCCACTGCCACCCAGCATACCAGCTACCCATCCCCATGGAACAAGCACTCAGGCCAGGGTGTACGTGGCTTGGCTATACAGCTGAGACCCAAGCAGCCCAGCTCCAGCTCTGGGCAGTAACATCAGGCCAAGGGGAACTAGTAGCTACTGCTACGCATGGTTGTTAGAAGGAAAGAAGCCCTCAATTCTTCTGGCACCTCAGCTGCCCAACACAGAGCTGCCTTTACCAAGTCTATGTCCTCAGCTCATTCTCTAAGGCTGACAATGTTCACACTACCACAGGTAAACAAAGTGGCTGCCAGGCATGGTGGCTCATGCCTATAATCCTAGGACTCTGGGAAGCCAAGATGGTTGGATTGCCTGAGCTCACATGTTCAAGACTGCCCCAAGCCAGAACGAGACCTTGTCTCTAAGAAAAATAGCCGCACGTTGTGGCAGACACCTGTAGTCCCAGGTATTTGGAAGGCTAATGCAAGAGGATGGCTTGAGCCCAAGAATTTGAGATTGCTGTGAGCTATGATGCTATGGCACTCTACCAAGGGCGATAAAGTGAGACTCTATCTCAAA